ACATCATTAAATCGGTAGTCTGATACTTTATTAATATATCAAAAAGGTTACTAAAAACATTAACATTGTAAAAAGTTATTAAACGAAATGTCCCAAATTTTCATAATATTTGGGCATTTTAATTCTTTAATTTTTCTATAATTACGAAATGCGTTTAATTATACAAAAATATTCCTATACTTTCTTAATCTATAAGCGATATGCTAATTAAATGTCATATTTATAACTCTTTTAGGACATAAAATTATTTTCATTATTTTTAGTATGAACTATTACGCAGTTAATTAAAAACTTCTAGAGAGTTCCACGATAAGACGCGCTGTGATTGGTCGATTTTTTGGTATATAATAAAAGTTGTTTATATTACTTGTTATCAAAACGACATTCTATACAAACATATTGAGAGTTATAAATATGCTAAATAACTATATTAATACACGTTTTCACTCAGTTTTCTTGGTAATTTCACTATTAACACATAAAACAATATTCTTTATCACTTTGTTTCTTAAGGTTGTTAGGCCGTCGCGAACACATACAATAAAATGAAGGTACTTTTTTGAAAAAGTAGTAATGAAATATTTACTTGGGATAGTTAAAGTGTGTAAATTTATAATAAACTCCCTTCAACTATAAAAGATGCAAGTTCACTCAATATTTTGAAGAAAAAATTATTAGACCACATTAAAAAACAAGACATTTTATAACTTGGACCACCGTCTTATATTATCAATACTTGAAACATCGCTCTTACGCAGTTAACTTGCAACTTCTATATATCTAATTTTGATCTACCCTAATATATGTCTACTATTTTATTATATTGTTCTGTGTGATTTATTTTAAATTGTATGAATGTACTCATGTAAGTGACATTAGTCTTAATGAGTAAATAAAGATCTTTAAACCGAAATTGATTGTAAATTTTTTTCTAGTATTATTCACACACACAGTACAATAAACAATTATTATTAATAATACCGCGTTTTTACATTAAAATATTCAAAATTGCAACTAACAAAACAAAGTGCGTCGTACTGACCCTGAGATTGTCCACTGGTTGTGCCAGCGTAACCAGTTTTTTATTTCAGTCTCGCCGCGCTGACGCGACAAGTAGTCAGTGGTCACTCAGACATGCCCCGCGTGCTTGTTGTAGTGCAACCCATTCGCGTGGTTCGAGAATCATTAGGAAATAACTCGCACGCAGACTCGACGACTTCCAGCCTTACTTTCCTTCAGCTTTAGTACCATAGAATACATATATGTTTTTAAACGTGTAAGAGGTATGCTGCAGCTATATTAGTAGTATATTTCTAGCACGAATGCAGGAATTTGATGGATGCAGGTGGCTCAGAACCGAGCTCGGGACTTGTGAAGGGCTGTATTTATGACGCCACCGTGAAGTGGCGATGTAAAAACATCCACTAATCCATATCATCCCGAGGGTGTCGTAAGAGATGACGAAGCAAAACAAATTAGGAGATGGACAGCAGCGTCTTTTTAATAACAATAAGAAAATTAAAAAAAAACTGCAATTGCCAAATCGCCAGCCAAACTGTTGACTTTAATAGGCTGAAATGAATGAATGGGTGTATACGTATTCGATATATTATTTAATCGTATTCTATTAAAAAAAAACCACTCAAATTGTTAGGCTTGATTGTTTGTGTGATATTTTGGTAAATGTTTCATTCGTTATCGTTAATGTCCGTCAGCCCGTATCGATCCTCTGCTGACATCGACCTTCCCGTTGAAAGGGAGTATTTTATTATCACTCTTTTTTCAATCCACTAATGTTTACGACCATGTTTTTAAGCAAATAAATTTTCTGTCTACGTCTAGTATACTCCTCTTGCGTCTTGTATTCCCCTCAGTCGTTATTAATCGACCTTAATCGGCAGAAGCTATTAAAGTGCATTTAAATGAGTGTACAGGTAGAAATTAACCTAGGGTAGGTGAATCTTTCCATACACTATATGTATATACTCGTATTGACAACATTCGCTAAAGGAAGCCGGTTGTACTCACTGTTAGAGATACAGGTACATCAAAAATATTCTGCTGCTTTTTCAGTGTCATATATCAATACCGCAACATAAGAAAGTCTCTTACGACCCAAAACAACCCCAAATGCGAAGGAAGGACAGAGTGTGTCCTAATATTCCCTTTAGGACTTACTTTATTAAAAAGTTTCAATGTTTTATTGGTCTTTTCTATATAATAAATTTAACCGAATGATTAATATACATACGCTTAATAAATACAATTTCAAAAAAGTTCACAGTTTGGCTTAAATCACAAACTTATGACGATATTGAAGATCTATTTACAATAAAAAAATGAGCTGGGTCCTAAAATTTAAACTTAAATTAAAATAAACAATATTAAATATTTATAAGCACCTATTAGCACGTTATTAAAAAGTAGTGATTTGTATAGCATTTAAGTGTATATTCTATGTTAATTTACTTTAAGGAAGAAACTAGCATATAAGACACAGGCTTGGCCTAGTTTAAATGCTAGCAATTTTTATCTTTTAGTGTACACTTTTCGTTCCAATTTTCCAAATATTAAGATTTATTTAATTAAAATTAAAATTTCAATTTTGTACTATTAAATACACAACATAAATTAAATTCTTAATAAATGTTCACAGTTTTAGTGGTAAGTATCTATTGTTTTAAAAATGTTTGTTCTTCCCGAAACTTTAATCTTAAGAGTAGATTATAATTGAGTACCATATTTTGTTTATCAATAAACATTATTATTATTATTATTATTTGGAGTATCTATATAGTTTTCTCATCTGGTTGGGTTCTATAAATATAAAATTATAAATGAAAATGAAAAGATAAATATACATAAATATCAATAAAATAAAATAAATACAAAAATACATAAATAAATAAAAGCCCAACCAGATGGAAGCCCTCGGCAGGGGAGACCAAACGGCCGAGGGTTAGGGGGAAAGGGAAAGAAACCGGCGGACGATGCGGGCGGTATCGAGGAGCACCGCCTTTTGCATTTGAGCCCGGAGCGGTCCGTCACGGAGTCCCAGTCGCCTCAGATGACCCGAGAGGCTGACTGGGATTAGCCCATTCGCAGAGACGACTACAGGAATAATTTCGGCCGGCAGACCACCCCACATATCGGTCACCTCGTGAGCCAGGTCCAGATATTTTGTTCGTTTAACTGTTTCGGCTTTCACGAGGTTCTCGTCATACGGACTGGTAATGTCGACCAAAAATATCCTTGACTGTGCCCGGTCCATCAGCACAATATCAGGCTTATTCGCAAGAATAGTCCTGTCTGTGATGATGGCCCGGTCCCAATAGAGCCTGGCGCGATCATTTTCGAGCACGGCTTCCGGCAAGTACTTGTAATACGGCAATTTCCGATCCACGAGACCGTATTTCAGAGCGAGCTCCTGGTGTAGAATTCTGACTACTAGGTTGTGCTTGTGCAAGTACTCAGAGTTAGAAAGTGCCGAACAACCGGAGATAATATGCCTAAGTGACTCACCAGGATGGCGACAAGCTCGACAGATGTCGACGGTGCCATCCTTTAGGATGTATCTCCGATAGTTGTTGGTCTTAATAACCTGATCCTGTATTGCACAGACAAAACCCTCGGTTTCCCCGAAGAGATCACCAAAGCGTAGCCAGTGGAGGGAGGCTACTGTGTCTACGAAAGGCTCATGTAGAGCCTTGTAGAACCTCCCGTGGAGCTCCTTCTCCTTCCATACGGTCTCCCGGTCGGAAATGCTCTGCACTGCCGGGTCTTGCCATTGCTCGTTGGCTAAGGATAGAGGGGTAAGTCCTTTACCACAAGAAATGACGTCCTTATAGAATGGATCATCCGATCTCGCCAGGAAGTAATCACGGAGGCTGCACACTTCGCGATTATGCATGGTGAGCGCGCTCAAGAAGCCACGACCACCATGCTTCCGCGGCAAGTACAGCCTCATTACCGACGATCTCGGATGATGCATCCTATGGGACGTCATGGTAGTGCGGACTTTTCTATCCAGGGCGTTAAGTTCAGTCTGAGTCCACCTGAGTATGCCAAAGGTATACATGAGGACAGGCATGACCCAGCCGTTATATGCGTGTGCCTTATTCACACCGGACAAAAGGCTGTTAAGCACTTTGGTCAAGCGTGCATAAAACACGTCGCAAACTGACTGTTTCATACCAATCTCATCGATACCGATGTTTTGTGACATACCCAGGTATCGGTATGTTTTAGCCTCGGAAAGGGTCCTTAAGTTGACGGGCATAGATAAGTCTACGCCCTCAGAGTTAGCAACCCTTCCCCTTTCAACGAGGACACACTTATCCGTCCCAAGCTCCATTCCAATGGAATTGCTAAATTCACAAGTGATGTTTAGCAATTCCATAAGATGGGAGCGACTGGAGGCGAATAACTTGAGGTCATCCATATAGAAAAGGTGGGTCACTTTTGTCCCTCCTTTCCGTAGCTGAAATCACCTCCCGGAGCCCTCCAGTAAGGTACTGAGAGGGTTCAGAGAGAGGCAGAACCAGATTGGACTCAGACAATCGCCCTGGAAGATACCCCTTCTTATCCTTATGTGGTTCTCCGCAGCCATCATCCGCTCGCCCAGATGACAAAGGATCGTACTCCACTGCCCCATACACTGCTCGAGGAAGTCTCTAACTGTACAGTCTATCTTGTACAGCTCGAGGACTCTCTTTAGCCATGTATGGGGCACCGAGTCGAATGCCTTTTTGTAGTCTATCCAGGCGGCGGAGAAGTTCCGACGGTTGCGTTTCACCACTTTGCCAATGACCGCGTCAATGAGGAGTGGTTCCTTGGTTCCACGACCACCGCCCCGACATCCATTTTGAGCGCGCGACATCACCTGATTTGAGTCCAGGTGACAAGTGATTCTCGCGCTCAAAATGGATGTTAGTGTCTTGTATATGGTCGGTAGACACGTGATGGGGCGGTATTTGCTCGGGTCTGTGGTACCCTGGTCTTTAGGAACCCAAATGAGTGATCCCAGTAGTGAAGAGGCTTGGGAGCGACTTCTGGTTGAGAGCCTCTTGAAACTGTCGGGCGAGCACAGAGTGACACACCATGAACCCCTTCAGCCAGTAGTGATGCAGCCCGTCAAGCCCCGGACTTTTCCAGTTCGGGGCCCTACGGACCGCCTCAGCTACGTCATCCGGCGTTATGATGACGGGGTCCATGGGCGTAATACCCGCACACTCACTCGCCACAACTTCCGTCCAAGGGCCCTCGCTGTGGTTTACGGGCTCTGACCACAGGCCGCGCCAGAATGCTACAGTGTCGGCCTGATTCGGCGCTGGACCCGTTCCACTTACCATTGGTCGCTCCAATGATTCATAGAGCCTCTTCTGATCACTCTGGAAGAGACGCTTCTGGTTGAACCGTGTCGACCTCTCGGTATATCGCCGAATCCGGTTTCCCCAAGCAGCGATTCTCTGCTTCAGATCATCTATGCGCTCCGTCAGTTTTTGCGTTATATCCGGCTGGGACAAACTGACATTTGTCCCAGCAAACGCCATCCTGACGGTGCGCACAATTCTTGGCCTGTTGTTGCCTGATCTGAAGCATATCAGTCTGCCGATGAGAGCTCTAGCCTTTGCGATACGTTCCTCAGTTCTTCTTCTCCATGCTGGGATAGCGCTACTATGGCCAGTAGCGCGTCCAGCCGTGGAAACCTTGGCGCCTATGATACGGCAGGTTGCCAGCGCGGCGCCAAAAAGAATTGAGTCCGTCTCGCAAAGGTCCCGGCTGGCTTCCAAATAGGTCACCAGCATTGGGTTCAGAGCCCTCACGACAGCCCGATTCCGCTTGCTTAGGGCTATGCGGGGAAGTCGCGGTCGATTTTCGAGAGGCGTACTCTCCCCCCCCCTCCCGCTCTGCCAGGTTTTGCTCTGTGACGGTTAAAGATGGCTCCAGCTCAGCAAAAAGACGATGCATCCTAGCCCGATACGCCAAACATCCAGTTTCTTCCCCTTTTTGCCCTAAAGTACGCCCGCAATGCGTTTGCGTTCATTGCTTGTGACCAACGCATGCGACGTGCTCCACCAGCGGCGGGTGCCGCTTGCTGAGTCCGAGAAGACCCAGCCGACACCAAGCCTTCTGGTGGGGATGATGGATGCGGAGGGCTGCTAGGTGACCGTGCAGCTCCTCGCGCTCGGCTGGCGACCCGCATGCTGCCGCGTCCAGCGCCAGCTCCAGACGCGCCCCGGCGACCCACAGGCAGCGGCCCTTTGCGCACTATCTTCTTATCCATCATCCATTATTTGGGCGTCCATTAACGGGAGACGCCCAGGCCCGGCACCGTTTCGTGTGTAGCCATAAGCACAAACGGGCCTCTGCACCCTAAATTCTGCCGAGGCACGGCGCTCACACCTCTCGCAAGGCGCTGACTGACTGCGTTGACGTAGCAGTTTTGTCACTTAACTGTTACGTCAGCGGGCGATGGGGTCGTCAATTCCCTACGCCTTACTTATTATTACGCCTTACTTATTATTATTATGTGTGGGGTATCTATATAGTTTTCTCATCTGGTTGGGATGTATAAATATATAATTATAAACGAAAATGAAAAGATAAATATACATAAATATCAATAAAATAAAGTAAATACAAAAATACATAAATAAATAAAAGCCCAACCAGATGGAAGCCCTCGGCAGGGGAGACCAAACGGCCGAGGGTTAGGGGGAAAGGGAAAGAAACCGGCGGGCGATGCGGGCATTTTTATTTATTATTATTATTATTATCTGTGGGGTATCTATAAAGTTTTCTCATCTGGTTGGGTTCTATATATATATATATATATATAATTATAAATGAAAACGAAAAGATAAATATACATAAATATCAATAAAATAAGATAAACACAAAAATACATAACTAAATAAAAGTCCAACCAGATGGAAGCCCTTGGCAGGGAAGACCATACGGCCGAGGGTTAGGGGGAAAGCGAAAGAAACCGGCGGGCGATACGGGCGGTATCGTGGAGTACCGCCTTTTGCATTTGATCACGGAGCGGTCCATCACGGAGTCCCAGTCTGAGGCGACTCGAGATGACCCGAGAGGCTAATTGGGATTAGCCCATTCGCAGAGACGACCACAGGAATAATTTCGGTCGGTAGACCACCCCACATGTCGGTCATCTCGTGAGCCAGATCCAGATATTTTGTTTTCTTATCTGATTCGGCTTTCACTATGTTCTCGTCATATGGAATGGTAAAGTCGACCAAAAACATCCTTGACTGTGCCCGGTCCATCAGCACAATATCAGCACATTGTCCCAGTAGAGCCTGGTGCGGTCATTTTCGAGCACGGCTTCCGGTAAGTACTTATAATAAGGCAGTTTCCGATTCACGAGACCGTATTTCAGAGCGATCTCCTGGTGTAGAATCCTGGCTACTAGGTTGTGCCTGTGCAAGTACTCAGAGTTAGAAAGCGCCGAACAACCGGGGTGACATGCTTAAGTGACTCACCGGGATGGCGACAAGCTCGACAAATGTCGATGGTGCCATCCTTTAGGATGTATCTCCGATAGTTGTTGGTCTTAATGACCTGATATAATTTTATTTATTTTTATTTATATTAATTTTTAATTAAAATTTTCAGACTGTCGACGGAGAGTAACGTCGTAAAAGCCATAATATATTCGATACTGCGAACACTTCTAATAACGCAAGGGTGGGCCCATTTCCAGCCGAGGACTATTGCGGACTCGTAAAGAAAAATTGTGATGTATAATAAAATCTGTGATTAATAACATAACACAAACACTCACGCCTGTCACCCAGAGGGGTAGGTAGAGAATAAATCGATAAAAAACGATAGTGGGCAGATTATTACAGAATTTCAAAAAGTTTGCAAGAAATTTTAATAATTTTTTCTGCAATGTTGCACATAGATTAACAAGTGATTTAGAAGTTGCACATAGATTAACAAGTGATTTAGAAGTTGGCGTAGAAAGTTGCATGAAGTGCTTAGATTACTCAAAAAGGCCACTAACATCTATTTCTTATTAACCATTTGATTATACATAGCTAATAAAAACTTTTAACAAAAAAATTAAACCGCCGAAAATACTGAAAAGCATAAAATAATAAACCTTTTTATTTTACCTTAATAATAAGTTCTTAAACTAATGTAAATGTAACTAAGTATATATTTTCTTTTAAATAATTACATTTTGAGTTTTTAATTATATGTAATAACTAAGTTCTTTAACTATTATGTAGGTGTACGTACTTTACAACTGTGAAGAGTGTTTTATGAGAGTTTAGAGTGCTAAATTTAAACAACCTAAAATACATGGTTTAATTTCACTATAACTATCATATCAGAAGTCCACCCTATAGAATAAAATACATTCTTCAGCCACCTGTATTCATGTTCACTACCTATGTTTAATTTTGCCCAACATTCAGCTTGCCCGTACAAGGCGTCCACTGGAGAACCTTTCTTTAGTTACTGTTTAATTTAGTAACATTTTATTAAAATGAGTATTCTTTTATAGAAGAGGGTGCAAATGAGCATGCGGTTCACCTGATGTTAAGTGACTACCGCCGCCCATGATCAACCGCAACACCAGGGGAAATGCAGGTGCGTTGCCGGCCCTTTAGAAAGGAGTAAGCTCTTTCCCTGAAGGTCCCTAGGTCGTATCGGTCCGGAAAAATCTTCGGAAAAAAAACCGTTGAATCAGAAGCTGCGAAAAGCTAGTAAATAAAACTCAAATTACCCTTCTAAATTATAGCTTCGGGAGCCCGCTTCAAGGCCCTAGAGAGCCTTTCTTTAGCTACTTTTTAATTTAGTTACACTCTATTAAAATAAGTGTTAAAAGAAACCCGTGAAGCAGAAGCTGCGAAAAGTTAGTAAATAAAACTCAAATTACCCTTCTAAATTATAAGCTGGCTTAAGCCTTTTTTTTAAAAGAGTTAAGGATTTGTAATAAATATTAACGACTGTATCCTCGCCGTTAATTGACCGGTTCGACTTCTATAATATATTCTGAGGGATAACAATTAATTTATTTTATTGATTGTTTTACAATAATACGAGTAGATTACTTTAAAACATCTATATCTATCTATTGACCCAAAAATGTTTAAATCAACTCATAAGAGTCCAGTGCCGGAAATAGCTCAGTTACTTTTAAGGGTGTCGTCACGCGCTTTTAGTTAGATTAACGATTGCAGTTACAGTCGCCGGTCTGTGTATTATGTCGAGCTGAAAGGGGTTGGCTATTAAGTAATTTATCGAAAACCATGATATTTTTTTCTGGCATTTTCTATAGTAGCTTTCTACGATACCCACAGAGAAAGATGGTTATTTACTATTAATATAAAAAAAATTGAACACTTAGTTCAATTTATTTTTATTATATTAATAGTAAATAACTTGTATTAAGCACATTTACCCAATAATACTTTCATAATATACTGCTGCCTTTTTTAAAAATAGGTCGACGGGCATCAATAACTTTAAGGATTAAACTACCTTCTCGTGCTATGTATCCTGATCCTCACCACAATGCTTGACTACTACTCTACCAGGTAGGTGATAAAGTAGCCAAAGATGGTAAAACGCACTGATTTAGCTCAACAAAATTGTTATACGTGGGACACTCAATAAGTTTTGAGATATACAAAAAGTATTCTAGATACTATTAATATTTATTTTACATCTTTTCAAAATATTCTCCATCATGCTCTATATAAAGTTCCATTCGCCTTAACCAACTCTCAAAACACTTTTGCCCATATAAAGCAATGATTTTGCCAGTCTTGTTCTGACAGGTCGGAAACCGCTTCTTCGTAGGCAGCCACGGCTTCTTCGGCGCTTGAAAAAAACTTGCCTTTTATTTTTTCTTTGACTCTTGGGAACCAAAAGAAATCACAAGGAGCTAATTCAGGGCTGTAGGGTGGGTGACTTAGAGTTTCAACACCAGATTCCTCAATAAATGCTGTTGTTCTATGGAAGGTATGTGAAGAGGCGTTATCATGATGTAGCATGATTCCCTGAAGCCCGGTCTTTGATTCTTCTCACGCGCAGCTTGAAAAACTTTGGGTAATGCAACTGTAGTATACCATTCAGAGTTGAATGACCTAAAATTTTCCAGAACTGACGTCGACAAATGTCCGCTCCGCGAAATAAAACTAGCCACCATTATTTGCCGACGTTGCGAGGTCCTTGCAGTTTTGTCGGTAACTGTCCTTCTAAGTAGATCCATACCAATGATTGCCTTTTATTTTCCGGATCATATTGATATATCCATGTTTCTTCACCAGTAACGATTTCTGAAACACGCCTAGATGCCCCGTTTTCAAAACGTAGACGCATTTGATGGCGTCAATCCACACGAGTCTGTTTTTGGCTTTCGGAGAGCTAACGAGGGATCCATCGACAACAAAGCTTCCTCACAACTTTATGCGCCAACTTCTAAATCACTTGTTAATCTATGTGCAACTTCTAAATCACTTGTTAATCTATGTGCAACTTCTAAATCACTTGTTAATCTATGTGCAACTTCTAAATCACTTGTTAATCTATGTGCAACTTCTAAATCACTTGTTAATCTATGTGCAACTTCTAAATCACTTGTTAATATATGTGCAACATTGCAGAAAAAATTATTAAAATTTTTTGCAATCTTTTTGAAATTCTGTAATAATCTGCCCACTATCGTTTTTTATCGATTTATTCTCTGCCTACCCCTCTGGGTGACAGGCGTGAGTGTTTGTGTTATGTTATTAATCACTGATTTTCTTACACATCGCATTTTTTC